CATTAATTGCAATCATTTAACGAATGAGGAAGCACCTCGTAATTTAATAAAACGATTTTAAAATATTTCATACAGTTCATGTCTCAAAAAAACTGTCACTCAACGCCGATAGATCAGATTGCATTAAAAAAATAATATCAACAGCTTTTTTAGGATTCCGTAATAATATAGTTATTGATTGAAACCAACGACATTATTAAAGCTATGCTGTGAATTGGGACAAATTCAAAGCATTTATCTCAATTATTCCTTAACCTTTTGAACCCCAAAGCAAAAACACATGAACCTGCCTTCAACATCAACAGCCTCTAAATTCCCACTGCTGAACAAAGCCTCTTCTCACACGAAGAAGGTTTGAGCATTAATCACCACGCTTGCTCAATGCGGGTTGGCGATTACAAACTTATAATTAGAAATTATAACCCCAGGTTTCCTCACGATGTTTTCCTTCACCATATGTCAGTGGTGTCTAGATTATCTTAGAAAGTACATATAACTCGGAAAAAGTCACATTGGTACTTGCCGTAGGTAGGTTTCGAACCCGCACCCTCATGCATGAGAAGCGAGCGTTTTAAACCTCCGGGCCACCACGACGACATGGGGATTAGCAAGCCCCTACTTGTCCTACGTATCCTCTACATATAGTCTAGCAGTAAATCAGCTGTAGATGACAATGCCACCTCCATACTGCATAAGCCTCCATTCCCCCTTATGAAAAGCAGTTCCCATAGACCATATACATACGTCTTTTTGCCACACAAGAGGTGTTTTAAGTGTTCACACGGTGGCGAAGATTCAATTCCACCGCGTTCGGATTATCGGATCCTCTAAAAGAGCAGAGGTGGTGCCAATATTCAATTCTAATCTGACGTCACCATGTGCCTCATGGTAACGAAAGACTTATGCAGAACCTTTTTGTTCATGCACTTTTTGCACCATTAAATTAAAAAAATACCTAGATTCAGACACTGGGCGTGCACAAACCGGTCTACAAACTATAATTGGAGCAAAGGCGTATTAAGTGCAGTCTTACCTATGTAAATTGAAATAAAGTTTTTTAATTAAATTCCACTTACAGGAATTGTCTTGTGAGCTTTGTGAAAAAAGCATTTAAATGTTTTAATGTCAATTAATATAGTTAAATGTCATTTGTAGTTAAAATACCAATTTCCAAATGGCATAAGTGGTGATTGAATAGAACAGAAATCAAATGTATGTAACATTGACTTGAAATAATTTGTCGAATGTCAATCCAGTATGTTTAGGTAAAAATAAGACACAGCACATCAAAATATCTAATCTATAAAAAATTAATTGATTCATTTTCAACTAGCTTAAAGGATCAGTAAGCTGAAATGGCAGTGGTCACATTTGTCAAAGAACCGATAACCGTTGGGGTAAACGTTTTCTAGAGTGGAGACCGCGTATAGGCATAGGCAAACGCACTGTACAGCTAGGTGGAGTGACGGCATCCGCAAGGTGGCTGGTAGTGGTTGGATGAGAATAGCTGAAGACCGAGCTCAGTGGCGTGCCATTGGAGAGGCTTATGTCCAGCAGTGGACGAATACGGGCTTATGATGATGATGATGAATTTCCAACTTTAATGCAGAAGATCTTCTGTCAGTCACAGGCGCATATAGTCACTCCACCTAACTGGAGGGTGTCCTACACCATATTTGCCTAAACTAGGTTTCGTTACCAGAGTACATATCTCCCAACGACAATTATTATTATTATCCTCCGTGAACCGATTAAAAAGCTAGAGTAATCCAACTACATATAATCCATTAAAAGCAAATAAATCAAGTTACCGAAAGCCGTATCACATACAATAACAGGTCCAAATTAATGATAATGAGTAATGACGCAATGTAATACACTAAAATGATGAAGTTTGAAACAAGATGGCGCTCGACTTGTCAAACGAAGCTTCCTGCATTCTTCGCGCCCTCGTCCGACCGCCTAATTGGGGTACCGTACTTAAAACAAGAAACCCATTTCGAAGTTTTTGGAAATATAAAGAGTAGAAATTTTTGAACGTTAAGAGTGGACGGAGAGGTATGAAAATTATTTACTTCTCTTACTATCTGACCCTGCAAACTTCATACCGTCTTAAATTGTTTTTCCGTCTGATTTTAAGCCTTTCCTGGACTTCAACGAACATTTCAAGACCAAAATTTGCCAAATCGGTTCAGCCGTTCTCGAGCTTTAGCGAGACTAACGAAAGGAAATTCATTTTTATTTATGTAGAAGATATAAGACGGCCCGAGTTATAAGATTACCACCAGCAGTGGTGCTAAATCTCATTGGTACTTTTTTCCACGGGTGTAAAAACCGACCAAGAAGCTACATTTGATAAAGATGCCCAGTCTCTGATGTAACTCAAACTGAACCTTTTAACCTTTTAAGCAGCAACCAACGTGTGTTAAAGGTTGAGAGGGCCATGCTTCGGCACGAATGGGCCGGTTCAACCAGACTGATGACCACGGCCTCACAGGAAACCGAAGTGGAACAACGCTTGTTGTATTTCATCGTGTGAGTGAGGTTACCGGACGCCAAATCCCCTCCTCCCCATTCCCCACAATCCCCAATGATACTCAAATTCCTAATCCCAAAAGGACAGTAACGCTCTTATTACGCCTCTGGTGTTTCGGGTATCCATGGGCAGCGTCGATTGCTTACCATCAGGTGATCCGTCTGCTCGTTTACCGGCTTATTCCATAAAAAAATTTGGAAATTATAGCCAATATGGCAAATGTAGACGTTCATAACAATCGATTAATAATTGATGTAGAAGACGAGGAATTTTTTTAAGCGGGGAAAATCATCGATTTACTGCTCCCGCCTGGGTGAGGCGTGAGGGAGTGTCAGACTCTTACTGACTAAAAACCACCCCGTTCCTTCTCCTGCACGTCGAGCCGGAGCCCCGGTAACCCTTTAGGTTCTTCGCGACAAGACGAGGGAAAAAAGTCTCGGTGTGATGTATTTAAATATTTTAAAGACAAGAAAAATATTATATGTTTAGCGTCTTTGAAAAAATTATATTTGGTTTGGAAGACCCCTGACGAAGGTTGCACAAAGAGTTATCATAAAAGAAAAGGGCATCCATCATACTATGACTAATTACTAGAATATGTAAAACAAACACAACAAAGATGTTTTTCAAGCCTACAGCCTACGGTTTACAAAAACAAATCGTGACTTGAAATCACATAAATTATCATCATTTAATTATTTCACATTATTTATTGAAAACACTAGTTCTGTCCTGGATATTCACTTGTGTTCTCATTTCATAAGCTTCATTAAAAATAGCTATACTCTCTTTTCCTGCTTGCTTTCATCTCCAGCAATTCGAAAATAGTGATGTATTTCTCTGATACTCCTAACACAATATTACCACATCAGACATCAAAATTAACTCATCTTTTCGTTGGATTTCCTCTTTCCTGAGATCATTGTCATCAGCATCAACAGCCTATAAATGCCCACTGCTAAACAAAGCCTCTTCTCACATGGAGAAGGCTAGAGCATTAATCACCACGCTTGCTCAATGCGGGTTGCGATTTCAAACTTATCATCAGAAATTATAAGCCCAGGTTTCCTCACGATGTTTTCCTTCACCGTTTGTCAGTGGTGTCTAAATAATCTTAGAAAGTACATATAACTCGGAACATACCACATTGGTACTTTGCCGTTGGTAGGTGTCCACCCCACAAACCCCTCATGCATGAGAAGCAGGCGTCTTAAACCTCTGGGTCACCACGACACTGAAATCTCCACCTAACAAAAAACATCAAACTCAAGAATGCATTGGTTTCTGATATCAATCTCTCACATCATGGCAGTTACTTAGATGGAACTTATTTGTCTACAAAAAGGAATTAAACACCCTACTTTATAAGGCTGTCAAAAAAACTTCAGCGACATTTGGACCTGTAGGCATTCTATACAAGTAACGAAAATCACGAACCAATATCAAGAAAGGCCAAAAAATAACCTACAGAACCCTGTGTTGCAGACCAATAAACATACTGCCTTAATGACTTTTTTTTTCGTTTTCATTTTATTCACTAGTAATAAGACTACGCCTTATCCCGTCTGCTCTATATCAGCGTCGTATAAATAGCTCCGGATAGCCACCGAGAGCATCAGAAGTCATCCACACTCCCCAGGGTCAAGATGAGAGTACTGGTCTGTACTTTTATATATTATTTGACAATTTCGTACTTTTTGAAATGTGAAAAAGTGATTTTTGTGTTGTTCGGCGATTGGGATTTTTTCGATAAGTATTTTTCAGAAAAGTTTTGAGTCTGATTTTTACTGGAATTGTGTTAAGTTTTGTATGTTTTATTAAGTTATCGTTTAGTGTTAAAATTATTAGAAAAGATCTTATTTAAACTTAATTTTTACAAATGTGACAGTGAGTTTATTTTTTATGTGGTTTCTCGCGCCTTAACTGCTAAATCAATTTTAGTGTATTTGATACTGAGATTTGACAATAGACTACTAAACATTTCAACTTGATATATATACCAATTATGAACTTATATCCATTTGTAAAAAAAAATCTGAACTTAATTCAATAAAGTTAAAAATCTATTACACTGTCAGTTTGGGTTGTGTCTGTACATGATGAATTAACTAAAAAAATAAGTATATCAATTAATTTTTACTATGTAATTCTCTTGACATGACTGAAACGTTTTTTGACCCTAGTAAAAAGAAGGTTGAGGGTGTTAGGTGATTACGGCTTTGTCCTGGTCGTAAAAGTTCATCCGGTCTCCCAGACCCCATCACATGGCGACGCTGGTGTACTCCTGGGTTTTTAGTGGGTATCTCTCAGAGACTCCAATATCACACACTCCATCTCGTCCCCCGACGGGAGGACGATACATAAAGTATTTTCCCAGGGTGCAAAAATGGGGCGGCTTTGGATGTGATATTCATGTGACGTTAATGATTGATGTGTGAATATCATAGATTGCGTACTAACAAACATGTTTTTTAATAAAGCCATTTTCTGCCAAATTTTACTAAAGAGGAAGAGGTGCTGCTATGTAAGATTAATCGCAAGAATTCGATTGATATATTAATAAAATACCAATCGATAAACTATTTATTCACAACTAGTTTTAACTTGCAAATATTTAACCTTCAATATCTGACGATCAAGATCTTTCAAGATCTAAAGATTAATTTAGATTAAGCTTTATGTAATCACCACTATGTGATCTGTGATGACACTGTGAAAAGTAGGTGGAAGTTACCGATGAATACGAAGTTACGAAGACTCAACGACAACCCAAAAACAAACTGAGAAAAGAAAAAAGAACTTAAAATGTTTAGCTAACAACTTTCATCGTTCATTTTCAGATTGTCTCCGCTCTGTTCGCCGTCGCGGCCGCGGCACCATCAGGCCTGTACGCGCCGGTCATAGTACCAGCCGTCAGAGCAGTGGCAGTGCCAGCAGCCATCCCGACGATATCCCCAGGAGACATACAAGCAGCAGCCATCGACGCCCAAGTCCAAGCTCAAGACCAAGCCCAGGCCGCAGCCGACAAAGCCAGAGAACTAGCTGAACAAGCAAACGAAAACATCAACGAGAAAGCCATAACCGACGCCACAGGTGCCAACGAACAGAACTTAGAAGCTTTCTGGTCTGCTGAGGACAAGAAATGGCAAGCAGTCGACGCTTTGAAGACAGCTGAAGCTCAAATTGATGGAGCTGTTGCTAGCAACGCTAACAACTTGGCCAAATCTGCCGTCAGTGGTGTAGCAGTTCCTTATGTAGCGGCCGTAGGACCTGTCGCTCCCATCGTAGCTCCAATCCCACCAGTGGTCTACTCAGGCTACGTCGCTCCATCAAGCTATTCTTCTCAGACCCTGATCACTGGTCAAGAAATCAAGACTGAGATTAAGGAAGAGAACAAGGAAGCTGCCGTGAAGACCGCTGAGCCTGCGCCAGCTGAGGCTGCCCAAGCTGAGGGTGAGAAGAAGGTCGAAGGAGCTGAATCTCCCGCTCTGAAAGCTGCAGAGAACCTTAAAGAGAAGCCTGCCTTCATTGCTCAGCCTCTGATAGCTCCTATCGGTTTTCCCAACGTCTACAGGTATGATGTAGCTGTTCCATCAGTAGGTGCTTACATTGGCCAACCTATTCTGAAGTATGCTGCAGTACAACCGGTACCTGGAGTGCTTACTCCCACATTTGTGAACGCTTGGAAATGAATGGAGGTGGAATAATTAAAGAATGATAATCTGACGACTAAGTTTCCTTGTTTCATTTAATACCTCCTACGATCGTTGTGACCTTTGCGTAGATGTTGATGCAGATTCTTATGATAAATAGGCAGATGATTGACAGTACTTTGAATTATGTAAATATAATAATTGCTTTAGAAATATGCCCAGTGTATGGTAATAGATGTACCCCTAAATACAAGGGTATATACAATCATAGCTTAACTAGTGAAAGTAGGTGTTGTATTGTTTATGGGCACTTCAGCTTAACCCTTCAGGGATAGAAAAAGGATACGTTGCTATTTTGATTTTTACAAAAAAACTAAAATCTTAATTATGACTTTAGTCTCAACTCAGGAATTGCACCAAAACCCCAGTCCCCATTAGTATTCCACTAAACCATTTGATCAAAAATATTACATTTAACTCTCTGCCTATCCATTTGTAGATAAAAGGCATGAAAGTTAGTTTTAATTTACGAATAATAGTTGCATGCATTGATTGGTGGGACATGATGAACTGCGCATTCATCTAACATCTTAAAATGCATCTTAATTTACTGTGTTCAGCAATAAAGTTAAAAGATATTTAGTTACAGCACAGCGGGATGAAAAGCGGGACGTTGCTATTTTTACTATTCTCAGTCTTCATTCAGGAATTACACCTAAACTCTCAGCCTCGCAAATAGTACTCTGATGGTGTTAAATAACGTGCACCTCTACCTATCCATTCGTGGACGAAAGGCATGATGATTTATCTATATATATAAAAGAAAGTCGTGTTAGTTACACCAATTATAACTCAATAACGGCAGAATAGATTTGGCTGAAAATTGGTAGGGAGGTAGCTTAGAGCCAGGAGACCGACATAGGATACTTTTTGATAAAATTTTTTTTTACTTTTTACCGAAAATCACGAACGGGGAGGCGAAAAAATGGGATTACGCGTACGAAGTCGCGAGCAGAAGCTAGTTAGTCATAGCGATAATAAACAAAAAATAAAGTAATTAGATTTAATACAGCAGACATTGGACATGACAACTTCATGACTAGACTGGTTTTAAATAAGTCTAGACAACTACAGATAAATAAGCACTAAGTCCCGACTGTGGTAAACTAATTACTTTTTTGACAAGTAGTTAGCATTGGTTTCAATTTTAACCAATTTTAAGGCAAGTGAAATGAAACATTCAACTGCATGATTGGTGCGGTGGTTGGGCAACTTGCTGCCGCGCAACGTGTAGCGGGTTCGATTCCCGCGCGGAAAAACTCTTTGTGTGATCTACAGATTGTTGTTCCGGGTCTGGGTGTCATGTGTATGTGAACTTGTATGTTTGTAAACGGACACACGATACAGGAGAAAATAATTGTGGGGCAACGTATTGAAAAAAAAAACATAATTTTACGTGGAGAGCCATGCTTGGGCACGAGTGGGCTGGCTCCACCGGAGTGATACCACGGCCGAGCAGAAATTTTCACTAATAATTTTTACGTTATGTTTCGCCGTAGGAGTGGAGTTACCTAAAATACAATTATCTCCTCCCTCCCTAATCTCCCAAATTCCCGAACCCCTAATTCTCAGATCCCTGATCCCCTCCTCCCCAAAGGTTGGTAAAGCTAAAAGATGTCAGTCTATTATTACATTTTTTGTTAAACACACTATTTTCAATTTTGTGTTTGTACATTGTACATACATTAACATCGTATGAAAAAACAATCGTGCAGTTAGAATCGAATATTTTATTAAAAAAAATAACAAACTAGGAATTGTTTATAAATTATAACTTTCGTGAGACATACTAAATGAATTGTTATGCTATCGGCTTACTCACGTAACTGTTTGACGAGAAACTCGACTAGTTTTAAGCCATGCTAGAGGCTCATATTCTAGGCTTGAAAGTAGTAAACTAGGAATTTAAACAAATGTCATAACGTTGTAAAGTGCCTGCGACATAATTATACAGCGTGCTACAGTTGCATCGTTTAACACATTGTAATGGTTACTGGTTGACCTTTACTGGTATGCGATATCAGTAATGATATTTATTATACAGGGTGTAGGCAGTACATTACTTTTATTTTTATATTGATTTTAATTTTATGACTTCAAGTTAATTAACGTCTCGCCAATTGGTATCAGGTTCGATTTGTTAACGAATGTCAAGTTGTTTTTGGTGTTTTAAATTTTCAATAATGCGACAGATACTGAAAATAAATTTGTTTAATTGGCTCTCTGTTATTGCTGTTAATTTGTGGGGAAAATATTATTCAATGACTTCTCCCGCCTTAATTGGGTTAGGCGAGAGGGAGTATCAGACACTTACTGACTAAAAACCACTCCGTTCCTACACCTGCTCTTCGAGCCGGAACCCCGGCAACCCGTTACGCCTTCCGCGGCTCTATATCGGGCATCGGCCTTACTGGGCCCCATCCGTGGTGGTTTGAAGGCTTTTTGGGATGCGCGCGGAACGGAACGCGCCGTACGCATGAATCTGGTTCTGGTCAGGCGGCGAGCTACCCTTGTTCGCCGTCCGCAAACCCGTACTCCCTTATCGCTAACAAGACCTTACCGACGAGCCTCATTTTACCTCTTAAAGAAAAATTGGAGTGATTCTTTATAACAGTACACACAAACCAGGAAACAAAAACTTAAGTACTCTCTTATATCAACCCTAGACTAAAATTGATACTTCAAAAAACCTATTTACTTTGACAAGCTGTCTGCTATTATGCGATAAAAACTATATTAAGTATCACACAATTTTTCATACAATCTAAAACAATTAATATCAACCGACCCTAATTGGACGAAGTCAACCTTCTTTGTCGAACAGTCGGCAGTAGATCAAACTACCCCTTTTGACCAGTTTCTTTATTGCATTTTCAACTCTATTTTTGAAGACATAAAGTCAAAAATCCAATGAAAAAAATTTACCAGATTAGATTAACTTGACCTGCTGGCTACAGTACCTTGATATCACAAATCAAAATAAATGACAAACGGTACCAATATGGCAACCATTAATCATGGCAAATAGATATATTAATGTAATTCTATGTTATAATGCAAGAAATACTTTATATGGGATCGGAAATTATTGTAGTTGGCTATGATACCGTATTATTATTAAAGAGGGCTCGTGGCGACTTATAGCTGCAGTAAATAGTTGCGATATGAAGCTAAGGAGAAGTCTTGATTTCTGCAGTTAAGTCAGTCAGCTGCTCAAAAGGGTTTTTTTTAAGGGGGAAGATCATCCATTGACTTCTCCCACCCGGGTGAGGCGAGAGGGAGTGTCAGACTCTTACTAACTAAAAACCACCCCGTTCCTACTCCTGCACTTTGAACCGGAGCCCCGGCAACCCATTAAGCCCTCCACGGCTCCGTGTCGGCATCAGCAATATTGGGCCCTATCTGTTGTGGTCTGACAGCTCCTTAAGGCGCGCGCGGAACACGATGCACCCATCGCTCGGGTCAGGTTCTGGTCGGACGGCGAGTTTCTCGTGCTCGCCGTCCAGTAGTTCAAGAGGGTGCAGTAAGCAAAATGTTATGTTTTTATAACAACTATCGTAAAAATTACTTAACTAACTTAAAATCGCGGGTTACACACACAGAAAAATCACAGATGAGTGACTTTTCTTGACATATAACGATATACTCCAGTCAAATATATTTAAGACTCCATGGACCACAAAGGTAAGGTCTGAGTAAAAGGAATACTGCAATCAACTCAATCATAATGCGCCAATAAAAGGCATGATAGTACCATGTTTTATTTAAGGTTAAGACAAGTTATTAAAACTGTCCTATAATTCTAGAGGTAGATAATGTGTCTAAACCACACCATTTCCTAGTGTACAGTGTAGGTCGTTAATCAATAGATTATAATTATTATATCTAAAGCATATGTTACCAACTGTTATTGGAAATTCATGAATGTGTAATAGGAGCACACGCCTAGTTACAGGATGTTGTTTTTTTTATAATAATTGAGGTAGTCATTATGTATTGGTTTAATCTTATAGAGACTTGACTAAATAAAGGAGAACGGCAGATTTTGTACCGCTTCGCTAAAAAAAGATTTGTCATTAAAAAATTGGGTCATTATAGAACCTCCTAAGTACGTTATGTTAGCATATTTAATAGATTTTTAAAACTTGGGAAACCCTAGAAAAACTGATATTCAATAATGATAAAAAGCAATCCACTATACGTAAAACGAACCGCGATTGACGTTTACAAAGTTGCCATGCGTAAAGATGAAATCAGAGCATATTGAATTTCGCTATTTCATAAACTCATTTATTTTAATATCTATCAATGAAATATTTTCCTTTCCATTTCAAACATTTTTATAAGTAAATATAAAAATCTACATCCAATCTAAATCTACGTTTACATGGATTATTAATGATAATTAACATTTTAACAAACTTGAATATTATGGCAATTTTGAACTGGCATTTGTCTTGATGACATTGACAATTAATTTGTCAATACTGGCGCATTGCTGTTTGTTTCAAATGCGATGTTATGATGTGTTTGTTGAATTTGAAGTTATTTTATTCATCTGGTGATACGTTGAGTTTGGCAACCGTTCCTCCGTAGCCCAAATTGGTATTATTGGAATCATTGTTGTGACAATTGCGAAAAGACACTTATTTACATTGTTTTGTGCAGTGTGTTGTTATTTGTCGCGATGATGAATTTACAGTGTATTAATTGCATTCAGAGTTTGTCGCACATGAGACGGCATGCTCTAGAAAATGAGAGTGAAGATTAGACGTGGTCAACAATATCCCAATGTGGACTTATCCTAGAGATGTAAGTACCTAGTTTACCCATAACATATCGAAAGTCACCATGTTGCCTGAATAAAAGAAGGCGCATAGTGTTATCTACCCATAATGTATCATTTTATTCTTTTTATTCTAGATCTCTCCTACCGACCATATTTGCAATGCTTGCTGGCAATTAGCAATGTATCGGGA